CACCCTTCAGTTCTCTAATTTCTTTTCGGAAAGCTTTGTTTTCTTTAAGAGTAATTCTTAAGTCCATTGACGCGTGCGAAACTTGCACTTGAAGCAGAGATTGCTCAAGATGTGATATGTGACTTTTAAGCTTATAATTCATGGCTTGAGATTGGTTCAGCTATTCTTCAAATCTTATCTGTAATTCTCCCATTTCTCCAGTGAGCTAATCCACTCATTGACTTTTAGTGGAAAACCTTTACATCCATGACCCGATTTTTGCTTGCTTTTTATCGAGGATACGATTCCAACCCTGCCTTTCAGAACATATTTCATCTTTCTTTTTCTCTCTTTCTTTCTTCTTCGATCTCTATCTTCGAAATCTTCAATTAGGCTATTCATCTCAGTTTCCAACCCCTGGACTTGATTTTCTCATCTTCTAATTCTTTCAGACTTACTTATTTCTCTTTTTTGAGTTTTTAAACTCTACGAGCCTCAGTTTTGTATTGTTTTATCAACTCTTTCTTTTCGGCTTCTAGTTATCCTATTTTTGCCTTTCCAACTTCTAACTTCTTGAACTGACACTTGTTTTCAACCTCTAGACTTTTAATTCACTGTTTTCGCAGCTGCTAACTCTCTAGCCCACTATTGTGGTGTTTTACTTGACCCAAATCCCCTTATGGCTCGTTACAGCTTTTGATAATCCTTATTTAGGTCTTTCAGGTTAGATTCCACCACGTCTTTTCTTTTTTTCTCATCATTTCGAACTGTTTGGCGTGAAATTCAGCATTGAGAGCTAACATGTAGTTTTCCCTTTCCAATTCTTCAATTCTTTTGGTATCTTTAGCTTTCTCCGTCTCGAACTCTCTTCTCTGGATTTCCAAGTTTGAAGGAATTTTCTTGAATTGTTCTTACATTGACATTGATGCTTCTCCATATGCTAAAGGGGATTTTTTTTCATTTACCCTTTGAATTATTCAGGCTTCGTAGTCATCTTTGACCTTCTTCTTATAATTGACTTCTTTATAATCGAATTCAGAACTAGTTGGCCCATAAGTCACCGAAACAAACTGTCGAGCACCGTATTATCTCAAGACTAACAAAGGAGCATATCCGACTCCTCCCTACACTCCCAGAAGCACAATCCAATCCAAGTCTCTGTATTTGAACAAAATTTGAGTGTATATCAACCATGGATTTCTCCATGCTATACTTTGATCTTGCAAGTTCCTGAAGAATTCGATCCACTGGTCTTTATGTGACGTTTCATGTTATTCTTTCGTAAGATACTCCGCAATAGGAGAATAATCCTTCAGAAAGAGATTGTAGTTGACTTTTTTTCTTTCAATAAATGACTTCTAATCTAAACAATGAGTAGCTAAGTGCAACCCATAAAGCGCCCTCTTCCCAGCCTCCTATAGATATTCAAGGATCGAAAAGTCTCGGCTAGAATTGCATAAACCAGATTCATCTCTCTCTTCAGTTTTTCAACTAAGTTAACCACGACCAACTCAATGAGTCCTAGGCATTTTATAAAAATTATCAAACCATAGATCCCCAGGGCAAGCACATTTTTTTTTTACATTTTCATCAATGTGGGCCTCGGCTATCTTTTGCAGATAGAACCACAGCACTCCTTCTCTTTCTCCTTTTTGTTGCAAGCGATCAGTCACCCACTTGTCACTTGTGCCTGAGATCTTTGCGAGTTTTGATTTAAATGATGGTCCTTTTATTGATCGATAATATATCTTGTCTATTTTAATGTTCGGAAAATTCAAAAAAAATAGTATTCTTCCAGTGCCAGAGTCATGTCCTCTCAATTAAATGTGAAGCAACTATAAGTTGGATTCTAAAAATTGTATCAAGCTTTAAATCAGGGTCGGGTTTACAGTGACATACATCAGATGGAATATATCTCCATAAGTCTATTGGAAAGCTTGCTTCTTAGTAAAATTTCAACTCTCCCAGATCTTCTTCAATCCCTGAAATTCATTTTTCTTTAAGGAGGTCGATGTATGATTAGACAGTTCTGACATATATAGATCTGATAACAAATGGTAAATGAAAATAACAGTTAAACAACCGAAAACATGCCAAAAGGCAGAGGAAAACGTGTCGTAAAAGTAGAAGAAAATATACTACAAAGACAGAGTTATTAAAATTAAAAAAGATAAAAATATGATCTAACCAAATAAAGGAAAAATAAATAAATATCGGTAGTCAGCGAGTGACACTAAGACTGGTGTCACCTTCGATTATAAAGATGAAAAAGAAAATGGACTAACGACGACACAATAAAAAGAGAGAAAATTAGGGCTGAAAACCCTACTAATAGAAAATAAAAAAAAAGTAAAAAAGTAAAAAGTAAAACATTTTAAAAAATACAAGTATATTTTAATATTAATATATGTTTTTGTATAGAAGCCGCTAGTTTTATTAAACGAGGAAATATCTATAATTACAATGAATGTTTACAACCATAATTGTAAACTAAATATATGATTAAGATATTTTTATATAACCACACACAAACTAACCACTTAAGATCACACAATGACAACAACCAAACAAAAATTAGTCACTCAAGATCACACAATGAATTAAGATCAGCATAATAACAAATAAACGTCATATTGGTTAGTCGTGACGAATATTAAATCCAACCCTGAGAAAACTATAAACAAAAATAATGGCCAAACAACAGAAAATGTGCCAAAAGATTGAGAAAAACATGCCATAAAGATAGAGTTATTAAAAACTGAAGAAAAAAAGGAAGAAAACTCAAAGATATAGTATAAGAAAATAAAAGAAAAAGAAGGAATATCGACGGCGACAACCAACATCAAAATTAATATTGTCGTCTATTGATCAAAGATGAAGAGAAAAACCAAGAGTGTTTAAGGAAAAAGTGAGAAAATCCTAATCCTTGATATTAATATATGTTTTATGTGTTCTATTTAACTTATAAAAATAAAAATTTGTTGAGAACAAATATATATTATATAAATATTATCATACTAAATCGTATATAAAAATAATAACTTTTATGAATTACATATATAAATAGTCTCATATTAAAAAATTATAAATAATTTCATATTTTAATATAAAAAAATATTTTATATAATTTGAAAAAAAATACAAAATATAAATATAAAAATTTTATATTTATAATTCATTATCAAAGTGAATGGCGTAAAAGATTTAAAGTATCTTTATATTTATCAATATATTGACTTTGATCTCTTCCCATCTCATACGAAAAAAATATCATATTGTATGTACAGTAAGATGCATCATTGGTAGGGAACATGTGATATAATAAATGATAACTAAAAAAATTATAATTTAAATTGTGTTTAAAGTAGGGTGAATGATATGTATTTAGTTGGTAAATATAAGAACCTTGAGATTATGATTCACTAATTTTATCATAATTTGTAATTAAATTGTATGAGGATGAATTTGTAAATGAATCATAATGTGACATCACGAGCCATTAGAGTGTTTCATCAATAGGAGTTTATGTTCTAGACCATTTAAAGGCTTGTTGTAGTGTTACAAAACACTCCATGATATGTTGTGGTGCTACGTAATAGTTTCAGGCTATAAAAATCGTGATATGAACCTATCGCATTACATCGATATAAGGTTTGATGATTTTGAAATCTATTATTGTGTAATTGTTACGTAACCGTTTTATACTATAAAAATCGTGATCCGAATCTATCGTGTTGTACCATTCAATGATGAAGCCAGCTTACTAGGAGGGTGTCATATAACACCTTAAAATTTTTTGGAAAAAACAATTCTTTATAAATTTATTATAACAATAAATTAAAAGTAATATATTTAAAAAAAAATTGCACCCATATACATAATTTGAGATCCATTATTCATTTTCATTCACTCGGAAAAAAAATCTTCATACAATTTCTAAATTTGACACCCCAAAATAAATTTTATCTAAATTTGACATCCCCAAATAAATTATCTAGCTCTGTCTCTGACATCAATATTACAATTTGGTGATCTTGAAATCCATTATAGTATAGTTGTTACGTTATGTTGTGACCGTAATTTAATACTATGTTTGTAGTCTCTATCCCAACATCGTCCCCTAAATTCTCAAAATCATCATCGTTGTTCTCTTCTTATTCATCTTCTTCTCGAACCACATCTTTTATTTTTCTACCCAAAATCTCTAGTTCATTCCTCATGTATTTCATACTTCTTTTATTTTTCTATCAATAAGATTAACCAAGTTATTGGAAGTATTGATTTATTAAAAAGGTCATAAAATGAATTAAAATTTTAGTGATTGTAATGTAAGTTTTAAAAGTTTAATAATTAAAATGTAATCATCCTAAAAGTTTTAGGATCATTTTTATAGTATACCCTTTTTGTATTTATGTGCAATATAATATTGATTTTTTTCGATTAGATACCTATTTTTTATGGTGCAATTAAATATTTAATATTTTTTAACTACGTGTTCAATTTTAGTTGGTTGATACCTTTTAAAAAACGAAGATTTATTTAAGTTACTATAATATATATATATATATATAATATATATATATATATATATATATATATATATATACTAAAAATTTATTATATATAAAATAATAAGAATGAAAATTATACTCACTTTTTGTATTTAGTATTATTATTGTATTCATGTTATTTCTATTATATTTTATATAAAATTTTTAAAATTTGTATTTACGTATTTTTGGGCGAGCATAGAGAAGAAGCCCAACATTTATCCAAAAGTAAAAAAAAAAGCATTCTTTATTATTTTTAAAACGAGTATCATATTTTCAAAAAAAACGAGTATTATACATAAATAACCTCCTTCTCTTATTGACTGGATTGTTGCTTGCTACTCCAATGCTAGTTATTCCATTGCATTTAATGGAAGTTTGATTGGTTTTTTCAAGGGTGCCAAAGGCATCAGACAAGGTGACCCCTTATCCCCTCTGTTGTTTGTTCTTGTTATGAATGTCCTTTCTAAAATGCTCAACTATGCGGCTGCTAAAGGGATTTTCAGCTTTCACCCTAAGTGTAAGAAAATTGGCCTTACTCACTTAACCTTTGCTGATGACCTTCTTATTTTCTGCAAAGGAAACCTTGATTCAGTCATGGGTGTCATTACTGTCCTCAACTCTTTTTATGAGCTTTCTGGTCTTAAACTTAATGCCTTAAAGAGTGAAATCTTCACTGTTGGAATTTCTGCTCATGAAATTGATAACATTATTTCCTGTTCAGGATTCAAGCTTGGTGTCCTGCCTGTTAGATATTTGGGAATTCCCCTGGTTACCAGGAAGCTTTCTTACAAAGACTGTCAGCCTCTCATTGAAAAGATTAATTCCAGACTTCACCAATGGTCAAAGCTGAAACTTAGTTATGCATGAAGGATCGAATTGGTCAAAACCATTCTCTTCTCTGTTGCTTATTATTGGTGTAGGCAACTGATTTTACCTCAATTGATCATAAAAAAGATTGAACAAATTTGCTCCAGGTTTTTTTGGAAAGGTTCTGACATCCCTGCCTCTGGAGCTAGAGTGAGTTGGGATCGTATATGTTCTCCAAAGTCTGAAGGTGGATTGGGGATTAAGGACATTAAGTCCTGGAACAAAGTCTGCACGATCATTCTTATAAAAAACCTTCTGGCTGGGGAGGGTTCTCTCTGGGTTGCATGGACTCAAAATTACATTATAAAGCAGCAAAACTTCTGGACCATGGACATTCCTTCTAACTCTAGCTGGACATTTAAGAGAATCATAAAGCTTCGATCCGTTGCTCATCCTATTATGTTTGCAGGATTTAAGTGTACTAAAAGCTTATGGGAAGATGTTCGATTGAATAACAACAAAGTTTCCTGGAAGAAACTGATATGGTACCCAATGCACATCCCTAAGCACAGCATCATCACTTGGATGATAATTCTGGACCGTTTGCCCACTAAAGACAGACTGCAGCAGTTTGGAATCACTGTTAATTCTCAGTGCATCTTGTGTTCTGAAACTAATGAAACCAGAAATCATCTTTTTGCTGATTGTAAGATGGCCAGCTCCATCTGACGTTCCCTTCTTCTTCTTTATGGTATTCACAAACCTCAATTATCCTGGTCTAACTTGTTGATCTGGGCGTCTGCAACTTGGAAAGGAAAATCGCTTATTACCAGCATTTTAAAGCTCTTTTGGTGTGCTTTCAACTATACAATTTGGGAGGAAAGAAATCATCAGCTTTTCAGAGGTACTTATAGAACCGAGGAGGAAGTTCTTCTTGCAATCAAACACATTAAGTAGCAGAAACATTAATAGATTAGATAGCACTAATTTAGATTTATGTAATAATTGGGATATAGTATGATTTTGTTGTTCATAGTTTTCCCTTGATCTTGTTTCCATTGATTGGATTGGTTCTTTTGTAGCAGTTTCTGCTTCCTTTGAATAATAAAAATCTTATTTATCCAAAAAAAAGTTATAAAATAACCTATTGATTATAGGATATTATTTTTTAAAATCTTTGACTATTAAAAGGTACAGAATAGTCACATGACTATTCATAGGTACTAAGCTTGTCATTTTCTGTTAAAAATTAACGGTCGTTTGAGTTGGACGTTAACATATTGATTGAGATATAATAAAATTCGATCCTATAACCATTTGAGTTGTACTTTGTTAACTAAAACTTCGTTTATATTATACTGTCGAGCTAGTGTTTAAACTATTATGTGGTCGAGTCGGTGTTTGAAAATAATAGTAATACTGGTAAATATTATTAAAATATAATTTTATCATATCTCATTTAATATGTTAATTTTTAAGTAAGATGACCATTAATATTTTAATAAAATAATAATAATTTTAAAATATAAATAAATAAGTGATCACTTTATAAATTTTAATAATTAGTGATTTAATAAATTAATATTTATTTTATAACTTTGAACTGTTGAATAACAATGCAAAGGTTGAACCTTAGGAAACTGGAGTGATCTCCAAGCCATCTCTACTGGCTTTTAACTTTTAAGCTCACGTTTGCTAAAATCAGTTTAGTTTCTTCGCACAAATTCCTTACAATTTATAGCAAAATCCCTTATTTCTCCGATGTCGGTATGTAATTTTTCTTCTGAATCTCTTTCTGGTTTAATTTTCTTTGCTGAAACCCTAGTTTAATCTGAAAAATATGGTTTTGATGGTGGATGATGGTGCAGATCTTCGAGTACAATGGGAGTGCCCTAGTAGCCATGGTAGGCAAGAACTGCTTCGCCATTGCCAGTGATCGGAGACTTGTAGTTCAACTCCAAACTATCGCCACCGACTTCCAGAGGATTTCTAAAATCCATGATCGCCTCTTTCTCGGTCTCTCCGGCCTCGCCACAGATGCTCAAACATTGTATTCCCTCCCCACCCCCCCTTTTATGATTTCCTTATTTTTCTCCTTTCCCCTTAAAAAACTACGATCTATCCTAATATTCGAGGTTTTTTAATAATACTAATTGAAGGTATCAAAGGCTTGTCTTTCGGCACAAGCTGTATCAGCTGAGAGAAGAAAGGGACATGAAACCTGAGACTTTTGCCAACCTTGTTTCTGCCATTCTTTACGAGAAAAGGTTTGTTTAAATCCCTCCATCACCCCTTTAATAGTTGGCTAAGTTCTTAAGATTAATGGAAGAAGTGGGAAGATTTAGTTTTGTTTTATACATCCAACCAAATACTTACTTTTGATTTGCTTGGCATTCTAATTAATTTTTTAAAAGAAGTAACAGGAGAGAAATTGATTAATAAAGAATAGCTTGTGAATTAAGATAGTAAAAATAGCTTTTTGTATGATAGAGGTTGCACCATGGGGATAGAGGATGGGTTGCAAATGTCCGGATTGGAACTCTAAACCTAGATTTCACCTCTTAATGATGGATGCATGAATCAACTAGCTAAGCTCCGGGTTTGTTGTTTCGGAATTTTGAATAATACCGGTTTAGGAGAAGAAAATTTTACATGTAAAGGAAAAAGCCTCCGTTATGTCCTTGAAGGGAAATAATCCACTTATCTTGTGATAAGAAACTGGGCATCAAGAAATTATTGTTCTATCCTTTTCTTAATGTTTACCCTTGAACCTAGGAGATGGACTCTTCTTTTACTAATAAACTCTAGCCCTTCCTTTTTGATATGTCAAGCTAGTAAGGAAGTTTCTAGGGAAATTAGATTTGGAGTGGGAAATACATTTGAAAAGGGTGCACCTTTTTATGTGTTAGTGTTAAGTTTTATGACATTCTTTTTTTTTTCCCCATAGGTTTGGTCCATACTTCTGTCAACCTGTAATTGCTGGATTAGGAGATGAAGATAAGCCCTAATTTGTACCATGGATTCCATTGGAGCCAAGTAAGTTGGTTTCATTCTCTTGTAATTTTTGAATTGAAAATGCATGAAGTTGTCTTAGTTGCTTAGAATATTCTCTTTTTTTTCCTTAACTTACTATATTAGCCTAACCAAGAGGCTTGTTTTCATAAACTACTGTAAATTTCTATTTGGTTAATAGAAGCTCTGCATATCAAATGTCCTTTATGGAAATGAAAATTTTATTTCATATCTCAACCGAAAGCCAATTAAAGTAGAACTCTTTCATTCTATAGAAAAGGTAGAGCCTAATGCTACATCATCTGCTGACCCTTGACATCTAGGAGAGAACCTGAAATTTGAACGCTTTTTACTAAAAGAATTAATTATTTTTCCAAAACCTGATTGAGCCCTTTTTTTTGGGGGAGAGGATTAAAATAACCTGCTATTGTTCAAAACCAGTAATTTGGGCACTGATAAATAAGTCCAACCCATCTTAAGAAATTCTTTACATGCACTACCCTCTGATATTTGACAAACTAGGGGCTTGGGATATCGGTCTATAATTGCATGATGTTAGCAAAATTAACTACACCCTCTATGCATTCTTACTGTCTCTTTCCACACATGATAAACAAGAAGAAGCTACCCCCTAGTCAGCGACTCTATATATAATTTCCTTTAATTGGTGATACCTTTTATTATTATGTTCATGTTAATTGTTTTAATAATTATAGAACCAGTTCTATATACAACAGTTTTTCGATTGTCATTTCCTTGTCATGTCTATCCCTCTTATAAATGATTTTATAACAAACGGTCTTTAGTGTAGCCATAGAATCTTTTTTGTGATTGACTCTCAAATTTTGTTTACCTATATCTTGGCTACCAATGAATTGGATTATTTCCTGAAATCTTATGATTATAATGATTTCTTTATGTTCTTTGTTTTGGTTTCTAAAGGCTTCTGTGATATATATATATATATATATATATATATATATCTTGTAAATGCAGGGAGCTTGCAAAAGATTTTGTTGTAGCTGGCACTGCATCAGAGTCCCTCTATGGTGCCTGCGAGTCGATGTTCAAGGATGACATGGTTTGTTATCTTTATATATTTCCCTATATTTGAATTTGAAATGCAAGTATAATTCTTTTTATGTTTTTTTCATCCAGAAGCTCAAATATGGCGTCTATTTTTCAAGTAAATAATGTTACAGTTTACTGACTCAAAAGTTAAAAAAGTATTGTGGTTGTTACTTCTTAAATGTCCATGCCATGAACGCAGGTTCATGCTTTATTGACCCATTATTTTTGTTTTTCAGGAACCTGAGGAATTGTTTGAAACAGTTTCCCAAGCTCTCCTTTCGTCAGTTGATCGTGACTGTCTGAGTGGTTGGGGAGGACATATCTATGTTATGTAAGCATTTGCAAATGTTTATAATGATATACATATTTTTTATGGCATTTTATTCCGAGGGTCATGGTTATTAGGCTTGCTCAAAAGACTGGCTGTTTAATAGTGAATGCCAGGGTAGGTAAATAATCAATGGCATCGGAATGGTATGTTACTCCACGACCATTCATTTTTCGTTAAGTACTAATGTCCAACACCCATTCTTTGCCCCACTTTTAGGCAGACGGTTATAAAGATACGGTCCTATAAGGAACAAATACGACGAAAAACTTAGAAGAAAATGAATATACCCATATCCAACCCTTGTACTCGAGTCCGATTAATGCAGTTGTGATTTATTTGTTATAATTTGCTTTCTGCAGCACGCCTACAGAAGTAAAGGAAAGGATCTTGAAGGGAAGGATGGATTGAATGCCCTCGACGGGTGTTCTAAAGGTTCTCCATTGTCAAACTATAAACTTCCTTTCAGATTATTTGTCGTTCAATAGGACTGGATTGTAATTTACTCTTGCTATGTTATGAAAAAATTGATGAGACTTGCATTATTCACGTCATGCTTGATTTCTATTGCAGTTCTCCTGTTGCTAATTTTTAGATAGACAAGATGCATGGTAATTTTTTTTTTTGTTGCCCGGTTCCAAGGCTTCGCCTTAACTAATCCGGATCACACACTTGGTTTTGGTGTGTGAGTCTCCCAACAGAGATTTTTTACACACAATGACTTAACTGGAGATCTTCTTAAGCATGGGAACTCTATTTCCCCCCCCCCCTTTTTTTTCCCTAGTTTGCAGCTATGTATTTAATTTGAAATTTCTAAAAAAAATCCGTAATATGAGCCTTTCAACAGTTATAACAAACCATTATAAAAGTTACAACATTTCCTGTAGTTGAGTATTGTTTTTGTGTTGAGGGTTAAACTATTTTGAAAAAAATCAATTACATCTATATCTTTTTATGTAAATAAAAACGTATTTTTTATTAAGAAAAGAAAATATTCAAAATTATAATAGAAGTCTACAATTACAAAAGAAAATTAAACATATAATTAGGATTTTTTTTATAATTATTGACACAATGATCAAATAAGAAACATTAAAATATACATTCAAAATATTCGAATAAAAAATAAATACAAACAGATTTGATTGGATTAGTAAAAGAATCACAATAAGATAATAAAAACGTGTCATTTTGATAAGATAATATCAAATTTAACCTTGAATTTTTTTATTAACTTTTTTGTCCTTAATTATTATTATGGTGGAGTAATTAATTTTATTGATTTAAATATAAACATATTATTGATGATGTGATATAA